TGAGAAAACAATCTACCATATCATTAAGTTATCAATCGAAACCAAAAGCAGGCAAGTAATATTTTTTTTAAATGATCATTTTCTGTTAAAATTTCTCAATTTCAGTTAAAAAATGTCAAGCGATGACGATGAGTTCATTTCTACACCACCAGAGATCCTGGAACGAGCAAAGATGACAAGTCTTGTGAAAGATACGGAATCGCTTACAAAACATTTTCGGAATATATTCTGTTACTTTCAACAACTGCACAGTGACTATAAATAAACATTATAATAATTTTATATGTTAATCTAATTTGTTTTTGTTATTAATAACGTTGTTGAGTTATGAAAAATGGCTTCATCACAATTTCGAAGTTCTACAAGTAGAAAATAAAGGAATGAAACTCAATCATTTTGAAATCATTATGAATCAACAAACTCGAAAATTCTGACATTTCACTTAACGATCAATAGACCTCAATAGTTCACCACTGTTGAATTTGTTTTATAATAATATGTATTTGCTATCAACCCTTTTGAGTTAATCCGGTACATCGTATGTTGATGTAGATATTGTGCCTAATTTCCGAAAATGAAGGTTTATCGAACTTGTCCACTGCAGGTAACCAATCTTTCTCAGGTTGGGAAAGGGTATGTATACAAGTTAGGAAGCCAACGTTAGTTTCATTCATTGTACCAGTATATCACCTGATGAAGCTACTGTGTTTGTGAAGTTTTTCTATCATTTGCCATGGATTTCCATCTAGTAACGGCCGAGTCAATTGAAAAGAAGGCTTTATATTAGTTCGAATTGGGGAAAATAAATCGTTATGTAATTCACCAATAAACAAATATAAGATAAGTAATTTGTACCTCTTCATGCGGAATGGTTGAAGTGACGGGATTCATTCGATATTTGTGTCTTAACACAATATCTGTATTATCCTGGAGAAAGTAGAATGTTATCGTAGAAACAGTATAGTAAATTCTACTTGTGGAGTGAAACTATCCCCACTGCATGCGTAAAATGCGTTTTTCTACATTCATGCGAAAAGCAGAACTTTATTGAACTATATTTAGTGGAAAAAGAAGTTCTTTATTGCACTTAGTGCAATAAAGTTTTTATTGCACTCATCTGTCATTCAACTTCAACGTGCTATCATATCATGACAAACATTTTTCATATTGCAACTGTGGTTATAGAAACGTCAGTCAAAAATTAATTCTGACAATTAACAGAATTGAAGAAGAATTTGTTGAAACACCACCAGAAATCAGTGAAATAGCAAAAACAGCGTCATTGAACTTATTGCCCAGTAAATCAAGGAAACAGTATGAAATAAGTTATAATCGTTTTAAAAAGTGGTGCTTGGATAAAAAAGTTGTGAATTTTACTGTAAATGTGCTTCTTGCATATTTTTCAAAAAGATCGAATGTTATTGAACTCTCATCTCTTTGGTCTGAGTACTCAATGGTAAGAGCTTGCCTCTCTTCAAAAGAAAATATTGATATTAAAACTTACAAGAAACTTATGGCATTCATGAAGCAGAACTCTGTAGGATTTCGGCCAAAAAAATCAAAAGTATTCAACAGGGAACACATTTATAAATTTCTAAAAGAAGCTCCGGATTCCCAGTATTTGATGAAAAAAGTAAGTCTCTAATATTTTAGCTTTTCTGAAACATTTTCAAACTGCTTATTGTAGGTCGTTACGATATTTGGCATCGCAGGGGCATGTCGTAGAGATGAGCTCCAAAAATTGAGTACCGAAGACATAGAAGAAGCAGGCTCGGTATTAATTGTAAAAGTGCCTCGGTCAAAAACTGACAAAGAAAGAAGTTTCGTCATTAGAGGTGAGGTGGAAGAAGGATTGAATTTGATCAATATATATCATAAATACACGAAATTACGTCCCAATCATATTCCTCACAAACGTTTCTTTATCAATTACCGAAATGAAAAGTGCACTGTCCAAGCTATTGGTGTGAACACGTTTGCTAAAATCCCGTCTGAAATTGCAAAATTTCTGAATTTGGAGAATCCTCATCTATACACAGGGCATTGCTTCAGGAGATCCTCCGCAACACTTCTTGCCAATACTGGAGCAGATATACTAGAGCTCAAACGACACGGCGGATGGAAATCGTCGACAGTAGCGGAGGGATATGCAGAGGAATCACATGCAAACAAACTCAATGTTGCAAAACAAATATTTCAGCCTGAAGGAAATAACGATGTACAGTTACCAAGTACTAGTACGTTTACAGCAGTAACAAATCAAGAAGTGGATTTAAAGAGTACTTCACTACGAAATATTCATATTGAAAATTGCACCAATTGTTCATTCAATTTCAACATTGAGGGTAAAAATAAAGTTTGAGTTAAATTGTTCGTAACGTATTAGTTCCTGTTTCAATGCAAATCGATATTAATAATAAAGTATTCAAGTTGCGTTTTCCATTTTCCTACACCTAGTGCCGCACCTCAATAAACCATTTTTGGCTTTTTGCATGAACGTAGAAAAAAATGTTGTATGTAACTCGTGCAAAAATTGTTTATTGCACTCGACGTGTTGTCCAACTCGGCCTAACGGCCTCGTCGAACAATTTCGAGTCGAGTGCAATAAACATTCACTTGTTGCATGAATAACTATTAACTACTCTTGTTGGGCTTATTGATGTCACGATACGACTAATAATCTAACACGTAAGGAGTGTTGCTAGTTGCTGTGAATTTATTGCCGCGAAAAGTCATTCAAAAAGTCGCCAAAAGTCGCTATAGTGAGCCGAGTTTTCCGTGAATTAACAACCTTTTCGATCATCCAGTTATGGTTATATGTAATCGTCATTTATAGATTCACTTGATCAAAATATCTCCATGAAATTACTTCAACAATGCTGTTGCATTATCTGATAGAAGAGTTCGAGTTCTAGTAAGGATTAGTGAATATAATTTGAGTGAGTTACCTATGATGACTGCCTATATTCTACTGAATAAAACCTTTCAAAGGAGGAAGGAAAGCTCAAAGTCATCTCCACAACTTTAATATGAAGTGTTTATTCAACGGGACATGTTTCGAACTTATAAAAGTCCATCTTCAGCCGTATTTAAGAAATTACTAAAAGTGAAGACATGTGAAAATATACAAAATGTTATAAAAAAATTTTTGACTTACATGGAGGTGAAACATTGTTTGTTTCAACAAAGATGTCGATGTCTCTCATCATAATGTCATTGATGAGAATAAATAGTTTAAAGGAATAAACGGGTTTTCATTTAAAAATGAAGGGCCCCGTGCCCTGAGAACGCGCACTTATGAATAAAATCACAAGTCAAGTCCCAGAAGGGAAACTTGACGAACACACAAGGTGCTCAAAATAACCATATTGGTGTATTACGGGAAAAAGGGTCCCGTACCCTTGAGAGAGCGCACAAGAATCAAAAATCAATTTAGAATTGATGGGGCCAAACGCCAAAACCGTGTTACATCCAACATAAGGTTAGAAACACAGAATTAATTGCAAGAACTTGACATAAGTCAAAGTCTTAATAACATGACATTATGACAAGTGACATAGGACACAGAATTAAAGCAAACAATGGGATGAATGTGAATTCCACTAGAGACTGTTAAAAATACTCAAACAGAAATGAAAATGAGAAGATTTGAGAGGGGGGAGAAGGAACATTCCAACAAGATGGTTAGTAGCAAATCTGAAAGCAAATGAATGATGATAATTGAAAGAGAGCAAAGCAGGTGCCAAACAACATAAAAACTAAATTTGGTTATTGGTAAAATCTAAATAATTGAAAAATTTCACACAATCATAGTTCACCTGTTCATTAAGGGATGTGACCAAATTATTGTACAAAGCAGAATTTATTTCAAAAATTTCCAACAAATTCAATTAAGTACCTTTCTGACAAACATGTAATATTTTCAAATCTTGATTTATGTCAAAATTGTGTTCAGAATTTAATATGTGGTTGGCAAAAGAACTTTTAGTGTTATACTCGTCTAAAATTAATGAACAGGTAAACTATGATTGTGTGAAATTTTTCAATTCTTTAGATTTTACCAATAACCAAATTTAGTTTTTATGTTGTTTGGCACCTGCTTTGCTCTCTTTCAATTATCATCATTCATTTGCTTTCAGATTTGCTACTAACCATCTTGTTGGAATGTTCCTTCTCCCCCCCCCCCTTTCAAATCTTCTCATTATCATTTCTGTTTGAGTATTTTTAACTGTACTACCTCTAGTGGAATTCACATTCATCCCATTGTTTGCTTTAATCCTGTGTCCTATGTCACTTGTCATAATGTCATGTTATTAAGACTTTGACTTATGTCAAGTTCTTGCAATTAATTCTGTGTTTCTAACCTTATGTTGGATGTAACACGTTTTTGGCTTTTGGCCCCATCAATTCTAAATTGATTTTTGATTTTTAAGTGCGCTCTCTCAAGGGCACGGGACCCTTTTTCCCGTAAAACACCAATATGGTTATTTTGAGCACCTTGTGTGTTCGTCAAGTTTCCCTTCTGGGACTTGACTTGTGATCTTATTCATAAGTGCGCGTTCTCAGGGCACGGGGCCCTTCATTTTTAAATGCAAACCCGTTTATTCCTTTAAACTATTTATTCTCATCAATGACATTATGATGAGAGACATCGACATCTTTGTTAAAACAAACAATGTTTCACCTCCATGTAAGTCAAAAAGTTATTTATAACATTTTGTATATTTTCACATGTCTTTACTTTTAGTAATTTCTCAAATACGGCTGAAGATGGACTTTTATAAGTTCGAAACATGTCCCGTTGAATAAACACTTCATATTAAAGTTGTGGAGATGACTTTGAGCTTTCCTTCCTCCTTTGAAAATTCCACTCCACTTTGAGCAAACATGGACTTCTACCAGAGATTGAAACCTTTCAAGTCAAATTGTTGTGGTTCCTAATATATTTCTCTTACCAGAACATCCACAACCATTGCTCACACCAATCAATGAGAAGGTATTCACCACATTCTTACCAACCTGTGCCCGTCTTTGACAAACTGGCGAACAGCGAAAGCATCATTATCCGGATCCCCTGTAGCGAACCCCTGGTAAGCCAAATCGAAAACAGGAAAAAAGTGCTTCTCCTTCGCCAGCTGCGATATCTCCTTCCACTGCTCTTTCCCAGGATCCACCCCCGTAGGATTATGCGCACAACCATGAAAGAGAACCATCGAGCGATCAGGCAGCTCGCAGAGGCTGAGCAGCAGCCCGTCGTAGTCCAGCAAATGCGTCTTACTGTCGAAGTACTTGTACTCTTTGGTGGCGAAACCAGCCAGTTTGAAAATAGAGCCGTGGTTGCCCCAAGTGGGCTGCGGCATGTAGATGATTTTCTCTCCAGGAAAGAAACCTTTCGCGAATGTCCCGAACAGAGACAGAGCTCCCGTTCCAGACAGTGTCTGCACTGTGGCATTCAGACCGTTCTTGATCAACTCATTGTCTTTGCCTAAAGCAAACTCGACAGCGGCTTTGCAGAACTGTGGGGAACCTGGTATGGGTCCATATTCCTTGTTTGGTTTCTTCGCGTGGATCTTCTGTTCGGCTTTTACGACGCAGGGCAAGATGTAGGGCTGGGAATTGTCGTCTCTGTAGGCGCCTACAACTAGGTTTACTTTATTGGGGCTGGGGTCTTTTTTGTAGGCTTCTACTAGGCCGAAGATGCTGTCAGGTGGGGCCATGGGGATGTCTGACCACCATGATTTTCTGCGGTCTTGCGCAGGAAAGATTAGGTTTTGGGATTTCAGTAGGGCGGATAGTGTGTTTTGGAATGGTACGAGCATTTTGACTTGACTGGGTGGTATTGATCTAACGTGAATTTTGAACGTTTTCTGGACTGACAAATGCTTGACATTTTGTCACATGTGAGTTTGGTCACACTTGAGTGCTTGACAGATCCAGTAATGGCACTTCTGCGCAACCATACTTTCCTGACCCCTGATTTATAGATACTAGGGTCCCTTGATGGAAATTGACGTTAAAGTGATCTTAACAGGGTACGGACAGATCATAGCTGCATTCTTTTTTAATGATCTAGAGACTTTAGTTTTGTATACTGGCATCCCTGACATTGCTGTCACGTCACATCCTTGGGCGCTTCAGAGAATCATTCAAAATTTTAATAATAGGTATTTACAGGGTATTTACTTGTTGAGGAAGATCATATGGCAAACGAGTTGTGTGAATATGATTCGATTCTATATAAAATTGGAAGGTATTTCTGGGGTTTTCCGTGGTTGGAGATAATGATTGTTTCGACAAACTTGGAAAATTCAAGATGTCGGATCCAATGTATGGCGGAAAAATTTTCTAATTATGATCTGATTCTATTTAAGATTGGAATCTGAGGGTTTTTGGGGTCGAACTTTATGGTTTTTGGTCAAAATTGCGAAATTTAAGTTATAGCGAATCCAATATGGCGAACGAATTTCGTGATTATGATCCGATTTTATTCAAAAACTAAAATTGGTATCTGCTATAGAGCAGGAAAATGTATCTATCAAATGGTTGGAAAGAATTCTATTGCTAAAATTCTTAAAAAAAATGCAGAATTTTTGAAACCGCCTGATATCATAAATTATACCGGGCAGAGTTTCAGGAGGAACTCGGCAAATTTACTTGCAAAATCTGGAGGAGACATTCTTGCTTGGAAGTCTGCGAATATCGCTGAAGGGGATGTGCAGCAATCTCTCACAAAATAGCAAAAAACTTCGAACCAAATTGTGGCACTGAAGTTAATGAAATTGATTGTAATCAGCCAAGTACGAATTCTGTATAATGATGTTTTTTATGAAAATATCACGAAAACTGCATTGGATCTTACTTCTAATGGTATTCAAATAACCACTGCTCAAAACTACACTTTCAACAATACTTTATATACTCATTACTCTACCACAAATTGAAAATATGGTGGATGCAAGATTGAAAATAACGTGCCTATAAGCTATTCTGTATATACCTACTTCTTTGTTACTTGAGTTACTTCCATCAATGAATCGATAGAAAATGACTTTTTATCTCAGGAATACCGAAAAATCATATGTATAACATGGTATATTCTATTCTCCATTCTCCTGCACATTTTATGTATTACTTTTCATCAGCCAACTTTTCGTCCTAGACGAAGTTTTATATATGGTGTGATATAACCCAGCCAACCATCGTGTGACATCAACATCTGTGTGATGTAACAACCTTGCATAAATGCAATATCTCGTTAACACATCTTATCGACGTAGATTCGATATCAACGTCGCAAGGTGACATCGCAACCAGGAAACAATGTAATGTGGCAGCGACTTCTCCAAATAACATCTCTTCGACGTTAACCAAATAATTCACATTGATATCCTCATGAGATATCTTTGTGACCTGTGAGTGTGACGCAGACATGCGCAAAACGAACGCACACGCCAGACGCCATGTTGAGCTGTGCATGGCCACGTCAGTCAATCAGTCAGTCAGTGAGTGAATCCAACTCCGTACAGACTATTTCCTTCCAAATTCTCTGTTGAAATATCTGAGATGATTTATAGCACATATTATAGCAGCTTCAAATTGGAGGTATACAATCATTTAGGAACGACGGTGAGTTCAATCACAGTAGGTTATATTGTAATTATCTCTGAGATAGGAATATTGCAATCGAAAACAAGGTGGATGAAAGATCCCAAGATAATGTAAGTGTATTTGATATGTATCATTTATGAATAATGTATGTGTCATGTTTTACTTCAAGATTACTAATAAGGGTGATTGTCATGATAAGTTTTGTATCATCTGTTTTTACTCTCGGAAAATAAACATTTTCTTCGTAAAGTTGAATAATAATTATTATTATATATCCCACAAATATCACAGGTACGGCGACCACATCATCGATGTCGATGTATTTGTAATATGAAATGTACACTTGTATGTGACCTGGTAGTGATTTTTCATGTGATCTCGCATTTCATGTCTGAACGACGTCACAGTGATGTTGCTTGAGTCGGACATTTTCACATCGCCACGTTGTATCGGTAACATGTTTGTGACTTCAAATGAGATATCGCATGTCACAAAGTGATGTGGCGTATTCATCACTTATACATCTCATGGTTGGCTGGGAAGTCACTCCATAAATTCTTCTCCGAGTTGGATTCACGAATATATATTTAGCACACATGACATGAGTACAGTAGTAGTTCAGATACCCACGTCCAGGTTTTCACGATTTCTCAATCATGAGGCTTAGCTATCATTCAGCTCATAGATAAACTACTGCTCAGCTTGAAATCAGAATGCATTCAGTCAATTCAGTCAACCCTGGTATACAGTCTAAGAACAGTCTCTTGGTGAAATATATTAAGCTTTTAATACAATTTATATGTTCCCCACCTTGCAGAGATTATGCTGGAGTAGTATCTCTAAAACTAGAGGATTGTTTATCTATATCTTGGTATAGTTTAATCAGGAATTCCATATGGAAATTACGTATGAATGACCTCAATAGCGTGAGCGTAATATATCAATCAACGCTAAAAGATCTAGTGTTCATCCCCAGAATTGAATGAGGATGGAATTATATAACTGTTTTGTAATATACGTTATTGTTGTGTATCGATGAGGATCGATATTGAAGAGGCTTTTATAAACTTAACACTTTTGTTTGCTATTTATTTATTGTTCAAGAACATACAAAAACATTAACCGGTATCTATTGACTATTGTACGAACAACATGTACTAAAGCTCGACCGCGAGAGGGAGGGCAAACAGGGGTTGTGCCATGTTGCCAGATCATAAGGATATATACATGACACGTCCCTTTTCAAAAAGAAAAATGTAAAACATTTGACAACTACAAATCTAATCTAGTGGGAGGCTTAACCACGCGCCCACTACGAGTAATAATGTTGTTTGGAATATCATTATTATGTTTATCAATAGTAGGTTCTTCTGATGAGAGCTTCTCGATTTCCTGTAGTGTTGGATTGAAATTTCCATGTACATTCTCAGCTCGATTCTCAGTATCATTTGATGATTTTTCCGAGGATTTTTCTTCTGGTTCTAGCTTAGTTGACGGTTGTCTCAAAGGTCTTAAGTCTATTCGATTTCTTCTGTATTCACCATAGTCAGTCTGAACCTGATAGTCGTTTGGTCCAGATTTTCTCAGGACTTTTGCAGGTTTCCAGTCACGATTTCCTTGTTGCATCAAAATGTCTTGGTTCGGTAACAACTCAGGGAGCGATTTTGTTGAGCGATTATAATATTTAGCTTGCTGTTGTTGGCTACTTTTCAATTCTTCCTCTAAACCTTTAGTGGAAAATTTCGGCTTCAGAATATTTTTGGGAACTGGAAGTGTTGTCCTCAATCTTCTTCCCATCAGTAAGCTACAAGGAGATGGTGCATCTTGTTTTGGCGTGACATTGTAGCTCAATATTGATAAGAATGGGTCTTCATTATTTTTCATTGCCTTGAGTAGCAAACCTTTGACAGTTTGGATTGACCTTTCAACCATTCCGTTAGAGCGAGGGTAATACGGACTGGACTTGGTAAGTTTGATGTCATATTTATTTGCGAAACTGTTAAATTCTCCTGAATCAAAAGGTGGGCCATTATCAGAGAATATTTCTAATGGCAAGCCATTGGCAGAAAAAATGTTTTTTAAAGTGGATATCACAGTTTCGGCAGTTTTGTTTATTAGTTTATTAACGATAACAAATTTACTGAAATAGTCCACAACCACTAGAAAATTTAAGTTTCCTAATGATTCAAAATCGATTCCGATTTTTTCCCAGGGAAATTTTGGGATTTTATGAGGGTTCAAGGGTTCCCTAGCATTACTTTTCGAGTACTGTTGACATGTTAGACAGTTGAGAACTAATGTCTCAATATCAGTGGATATTCCAGGCCAATAGATGCTCTCGTTTGCCAATTTTTTACAGGAAACTACTCCTTGATGTGCCTTATGTATTAGGGAAAGGAATTCATTTTTCAAAATTTCGGGTATGAGCAGTCTCTTTTCATAAAAGAGAACTCCTTTATGAACATATATTTCATTTCTGATAGTCCAGAATTTTTTCACAGCAGATGGTACGCTGGTTTTATGAATTGGCCATCCATGAAGGCAAAAATGTTTTATCTTTGATAGGATAGAATCATTGTCAATGGCTTCTATTAATTTTCTTTCATTTTCTGCACTAGTGGCAATCACAGAGTGAACCATTAAATTGGTGTCCACATAATCGGTGTTTATTCTGTCTGGATTGGGATCACGGCTTAGAGTATCTGCGACCTGCATTTTCTTTCCAGGAACATACTCGAGAACAAAGCTATATCTTAACAGGCGAATTGTTAGTCTTTGCAGCCTGGGTGACAAATCCTCTAATGGTTTCTTGAGTAAACCTATAAGAGGTCGATGATCGCTATGTATTTGGAATGACCTTCCAAGTAAGTAGTAGTTGAATCGTTCACATCCATATACTAGTGCTAACAGCTCCTTTTCAATATGGTTGTATCTTTGTTGTGTTGGGGTCAAAGATACTGACGCATACTCTATTGGATGTCCATCTTGTGCTATCACAGCACCAAGACCATAGGGACTTGCATCAACAGATAGTATAACCTATTTTTTAGGATCATAGAACGAAAGCACAGGGGTGGAAGTAACTAGAAGTTTCAAATTATTGAAACATTTATCCTGAATAGTTGACCATGTCCATTCGTTTTTGTCACTTAAAAGTTTCCTCAAAATACTAGTTGCTTCAGAGAGATTTGGTATAAATTTTGCCAAATATACGATCATACCCAAAAAACGTTGCAGATCTTTTTTGTTCTTGGGTGGTGCCATGTCACGTATTGCTTGAGTCTTTTTCTCATCAGGGGAT